AAAAAAAAAAAAAAAAAAAAAAAAAGGAAAATGGCAAGCAAGCAGGAGGAGAGGGGACACACTGAAAACAGGTGGGAAGTTCTGGCATCCTGAAGCACAGCACAGGAGGGGGAGCTTCTTGCAGCAGGGCAAAAATCTCCCCATACATCTCTGATTGGCCAATGGGCCCCAGAAGTCCCACCGCTCCCCAGAAATTGACAGATATGTCAGTCTCTGGGGAGGGGAAGGACTCCCAGGGTCCCTTGCAATCACGGTGGATACGGGGGGGCTCATTGCACTCTGCCCTGAAAATGGTGACCAGCGCCATGCTTGGACCACAAAATTGGGTGTGGGGGGCAACCCCTGCAAGTTACATAGGTCCCTACCAATAAATACTGGAAGCGACCATCCAAGCTGATCAGTCTAAATAGCTCTATTTCTACAGATCAGCTCTACAGTATGTTGCCAGAGATAAGGTGAATCCATTCATAAATATCTGTTAGTTTATTCAACTGAGTTTCACTGAACCAAGGTTTTCATGACAATCTTGCAAAATATAGCAAAAATGACTAAGGCATTCTGACTAAAAACAGTGCAGATATTACTGTACCCCATCTTTTAAGCAAAGTAGAAAGCCTCGTATGACAGTAAATGAAAAATTATTGGACTACATACAGTTCCACAAATCAAATCTACATAGAAACTCTTGGAGATCATATTAAAGATTCGTTCCTGATGTTGAATAAGCTTATAGAACGTGATAAGATCTCCAACAGAGACCAGATATGACATGCTCAGACTGACAGACCCTTTTACCATCCACTCTCAAGACTTGGCATGCAAATATTTTTCCCATATGAACACATTCATGCACCTTAAATTCACCAGAAGTCCATTTCTTGTACAAGTTTATTTTGGCAGAGGTATTAGTGAAATTATGAAGTGCTTGTCATAAGTGGCAGTGCAGGCTGTTAAACCATAATCATATGAAGTCGTGGTAAATTAAGACATTTTATTTTAAATACACCATGCCAAATAACTCCTTTTTATCAGACGATCATAAAGACATTTTCCAAAAGCAGATGCTCCAGCTGCAAGAGCAAGGCAACAGTGAATTGAAAGGGAAGGAAAGCTTGGACGTCATCTCTTGAAAAGCAATGCTTAGTAATGAGAGAGCAGCATGTAGCACCATATACTTACAAGTATCGCTAAGGCCTAGTCCCCAGTTTTATTACCATTCCCCAGGAGAGAAAAGTGGTAGGACAAGCTTAGAAAAGTAGTTTTTAAATTACTATGATTATTATATACACTTATGCAGAAGATTTGAGAATATTATGATTGCAGTGGAAATATTAACATGCTTTTAATACACTAGCAGAAGGAAGGAAGTTCAGAGAAAAACTGCAGCTAATTAAATCTTCCTTTATTGGCAGGCTGGGCTGCAGCAGTAAGCAACTGGCCAGCAACATAAATTCATTTCAAATAATGTGAAATAGTAGCCTACCCTGCACAGGTATGCTCTTGCACAGACAGCAACCAGTGGATCTCCAATTCCTCTAATCATAGATGTCAACCGTGGGAGACACTCTGAAATTCCCCTGTTAAGATTTGTTTTTACAAATTAAAATTGAGATTTAAGAACTGATCACAGTATCATACCGCCCACTGATAACTTTAAAGACTACATTATGCATTTACATCAGAGCATGAATTATGGAAAACTCCTGAGGGAAAAGGTATTAGGGCAAAATTTCATTTAGAAGTAAAATGCAACATGTATTGCACGTCACATCTTGGGCAGGAATTATGCCACATACCTGTAGGAGTTGTTTTTGGTTTTTTTGGTTTTAAAGAAATGTTTCATGTTCCAAGCCAAATCAAGTCCAAATCCATGAGTCAGTCCATAACCATAAGTGGTGCTACAACCAGCAAGCATCCTCCACCCCTGCCAGGGGCTTCAGATATTTCCAAAGTCTTTTGGCAGGCATCCTACGTGCAGGCCCAAGCCCGGAGGCCCCAAGTTTCACCTGCGCTCAGCCATATGACTACAGGAGCAAGCTAGGGAGGAGCCTCCCATTTCCATGAAGTGCGCTTTAAGCCCCAACTCCTCCGCGGGTACTAAACCGCACCAGAAGAGCAGTTACCCCCAGGAAAACTGCGGTTTTGGACCCAGATACATGGTGTTTCCCCAGGGGTAGGCCAAGTAGCCAGGCTGTACTCTGGGGACTTGTGTGAGGACTAAGAAAAAGAAAGAATGCTCCCCTCTCGACTGGAGAGGCAACAAAGCTACAGTATGCTTGCAATGCAGTCCCAAGGAAGTAGCAGCCCTAGAGGCTGACATAGCTTCCTTCCCCAAGAGGAGCAGCAGTCACTAGGGAGTCTCCTAGATCCACTCACCTCACTTCACTCCCAAACCCCATTCTGTGGTTGAGGAAAAAGCAACACCAAAATTGTTGCACAGAAGAGGTGTGAAGCCGCTGCATGGTCTCCTTGTATTACAGTCCCGCAGCACATCCTAAATTGAGCCCTGATCTAGCACATAAGGCAGGCACAGCAGGGGCCCAATCCAGCTGTGTTGGGGTGAGGGAGGGGGGAAGGTGGGCACAGGAGAAGGCAGGTCCTGCCCCAATCTGGCAGCACAGGAGGGAGGGAGGTTGGGGGCATGACCCAGCCCCAATCTAGCTATGTAGGACTTAGGAATTTGGCAGTGGGGGAAGGGCGGCAATACTCATTGCCCTGCTCCCTGCCCACAAATTTCCCAACCCAGGAGGTACCCCATGGCTCCAGGGACCAGATCTGCCTCGTGGGCTAGGGGTTACACATCCCTGGGTCATGACATTCAAGGGCTCCTAGACACAAAAGCATTTTTTTTTTTTTTTAAGGAACACTGTCCATTGAAGGCAGTGCTGTTTGTCTCTTCTTCCCAGATTTTTAGTAGCTGCTTTCCTGGATCATTGTTCCCATCTTGCTCCCTCATCTTACTTTAAATCTCATCTTTGTTGTTCTCTCCTTCCTGTACTCCTATCACTTTTGCCTTCCTTTCAGTTTCTAAGTCAATTGTCCTTCCCCCACATTGCTTAATATGATGGGCAACGTGTAAGTGCTGACAGCAAGGGGCACAACTCCATGCTGCTGCCAGAGCGTGGGAGCACAACTCTGCACCACCACTGCTACCCCTGCTGCTCCAGGCATTGGGTCTGGCCCAGCAGCAGCCCCAAATCCCATCGTTGGTGCAAAATTCATAATGCCGCTGCCATCCCCCCCTGCTGCCGGGCCCTGGCTCTGGCCAGGCTGCAGCTCCGTGCCCTGCTGTCAGTGCAGAAATCTGGGAGCATGTGTCCCCTCTTCCCCCCTCCTCCCCACCCCCCATGCACTGCAATGCTTAATACTTCAATTAGGCACGCGCTCTGTAGTAAATGAGTCAGTATGACACCAACTATGGCAGCATTCTGCCTTGAAGTTATTTCCTGGGATTCATACCAATACCTCCAACTCATCAATACTGCCAATCATACTTGTATTCTGTATTTAGTAACTGCATGTTACCCTTACGTTTTTGATAGAAACTTGTTGCATTTCAGTATTGCTGCTTCCACATAGCTGAACGCATAGTTAAGGGGAAATTATTCCAAAATGCCCTTAAAAATAAGATAAATACTAAATATTCACTGGCTGAAATTAATTCGGCCATCAAGTGCTATGGCTCCCTTAAGATTTCACTACTTGATTTGTGGCTTTTAGCTTTTCCATTCTGTTTTCCAATTTGCTCAGTTTCTGGTACGTAAATTGAACTTAAACAATCATTGCCCCTTTAAAGGAACACTTAGTTGCCTAAGTGCAAAAAAGGGTTTGGGTGGTCAACCCCAGTTTGAAGCAGGTACCTCTCTGCTGCTACAAGTAATGCTCTTAATGTTCCCAGAAAGGGGAGGGACTTGAACACATCCTTTCCCTTAAGCATTTACCACTACTTGCTGAGGCAGCTTTCTACTATATGTGCTGCCTGTTGTGAAGCCCATTCCATGGCATCTAGCTATAACGAGTTTAGGCACTTCCCCCTCAGGACTGCAAAATCTGGTAGGTCAGAGTTAAGTTCAAAGTCTGCCTCCACCCAGGTGGCTCATCAAGTTAGCACAGTTAAGCCACACAGCCAAGCGAGTGATATGGCTAGCTTCCCAGCTGGTCAACCTTTGACTCCACCTCAAAATGACTGGGTACATACTTATAGCTCGATCAAATGGGCATGACCTTTGGCATGAGTCAGGACAAGAAAATTAACACTCATGCTTCAAGATTCACAGAGATGCTTAACCATTCTATCACCATACCCTCATGATCCAGTCCACTGTCAAGGTGCCCAAGGTATCACAACACCTAAGTCCTGAAAATCTAGCCCTCTACTTCTCTGTGCCTGCACTATCCATCTGTGAAAAAAAGGGGATATAGTAGTAGTACTTCCCTACCTCACAGGGATATTGTGAGAATAAGTATATTGGGAACTAGGAGACATTAAATACAACAGTGATATAACACAAGATATTTTTGAGGTTATTAATAATTATCATTTAGTTTTTGGTAAACTTCACCACATTCGCATATCACTGTAATTCTTTTTAAACTTCAGGAATAATAATATAACACTTGGATAGTCAAACCCATTTGAAAAGGATACAATCTGGGAATGAGCTCTCTGATGGAAGCGATCTTGAAGAACCAATTTAAGCAAGTTTCTTTGGCAGTATCATTAACACTTTCTGAAGTGAAATTATCTGGGAAAAGAAAATTAATCCAGAAGAAATCATGTTACCTTAAATTCTGAAGTAAGTTAAACTAGCTACATTTTAAAAATCTGGAACTAGAAGTCACTTCTGAATATCTGCTTTCAAAAAAGAAGGAAAAGCATAATAAGCTGGACAATGTATTTTGATTCTTAGATCTCCCTTGCAGCAATGTGGACAACTGCTTGACTGAGTCAGAGTCACAGAGAAGTAGGGTTGGAAAGGACCTCTAGAGGTCTAATCCAATCACCTGCCTGAGGCAGGATCATCCCTATCCAAACCATCCTGTACAAACCATAATCTAAACTCTATGTAAGACTGCTCTCAACCCTGACATAACACAGACCTAACCCCCTAACCTGCCACAGGTAAAGAAGAGCCACGGCAGTCAATGTCCTGCTTCTATAAATATTATCAATATATGCTCAAGAGGTCCTGGGTAGAGGGCCATGCCCACTGCTACAGAGGTAGGCAAAACCCCCCACACTCCAGACCAGTCTGACCATGAGTTAAAATTCCTTCCCAACTCCAAATATTGAGAGGCTCCCATCCCATATGGTTCCTCCAGAATTAGGAGATGGAAAATCCCCATGCACTATATCAAGCAAGAATATAGGGAGAGACCATCTCTCTGCCTCTTCTCTGAGAACTTAGGAATTCCTGCACAATGTACTGCAGACCCCATAGGTGGGGTAGGACAGTAAGCCAAGGTCATACTCAGGGTCCTGGTAAGTATTGCGTAGGGTAGAACCTGGGTTAGGCTAATGTCCGCTTCTGCATCCTTGCTTGCAGCATGGGCTCAGCTCTCTAAAATTCAGCTTATCTAGAATGTCTACACTCAAGTTTTTATTTTGGCATGCTAAAAGTGTTGCCTGACTTAATTAATGTGTATAAAAATAATTTGCCAACAAACCTATTTATCTTCCGTCAGCCAACATCATCAGAAACAAAAAACTAGGATCAAAGCTCTGAATCAACAAGCAAAGCAAACACTTAAGGACCCAGGTCTCCAAGCACATTTATCAATTACATTAAAGTAAATAAGCAAGCTTTCTGATACAGATGGAGGAACAGAAAGAAAGACTCCCTCGTTTGATTTCCTATGATTTTGCTTTTAAAAACTGCCCCAAACCTTGAGTGCCTAGTGTTTTTACACTATTGGCTCAGAGATTTTCAAAGGGTTTAATTGTAATTGACAAAAAGTGACTTCTGCATTGCCTACTACTTAGCAGAATATTCCACATATCAAGGAAAGGCAGGTTAAACATCTAATTTATGATTCTCACAAGGAAACACCTGCATTTTGAAGACTCTGAATATGCAACTTTACCATAATTCTCAGGTTTAACAGTGACCAAAAGCTTTAATGAAATTCACTTTCATGGGAAGCTCTACCCAATTATAGAATGATTCCAAACCCATCATTTTTTTCTGAACATTTATATTCTTGTTAATACATGCCTTGATTTCAGAAAGCAGTGATAGCCTTATTTGGGATCTCTCTGGCCCTGCTCTCCCTTCACAAAATAAAACTTGCTCAAAAAGGCAGCAAGAGAAGGAGACTGATCTTCTACACTGAACTAAGACTTCAGCAGACACAGGTTTCTAAACTAGATGGCCTCTCTGTGCCGAACTCCCACTGGTTCCCAAGAGATTTGTAAAATTACAACCATCTGCGATGACTGAGTCTGCTTCTTCTTCTATTAACTCAAAGCAAACTTAAAAGTAATTTAAACTTAAAGATCAGAAAATGTATTTGCATAATAGTCAGTTATGTTTTGACTCTTATGCTTAGCATATAAAAGTGGCATCCTAAAATCTGGTAATAGGCCTGGGCACAGTCTTTTAGGGGACAGGAGAGGGAAGACTTCATTTCTTCAGTCTGTCTCTTTCATGTTGATAGATTCAAACATTCACAGTTCTATAAATATTACAAGGGGTTATTCTCTATTTGAACAGCATGGGAAAGCTATTTCACTTTACAATGGGCCAACATACACATTAACCCCAAAAAACAAGCAATAGCAGACTTTTGCTTTTTCTTTCCACAATTCACCTTCCGGACTTGCCATTTTTGGAAAAAACAACTAGGAAAGTAAATTTCTTTCCAGAAGCTACATGTCTTTCCATTGGGAAACCAGGATATATATATACAAATGGAAGCATTTTAATAAAACTGACTGGAAGCAAAACTTCTTTCCATTCTATTTATTAATCTGCTGCTGAGCTTGTTGTTCTTACTCAGATCACTTAGTCTATGCTGAAATTCTGGGGAATCAGTGCAATTCTCCCACATTTGACAATGTCCAACCCTCAATGTCTTTACATAACACAGCGCTAGGCAAGGATTATTGCTCAAATAATATCAGCTTTTTGAAAGATTCTTATCTGTAAGATATTGATTTTATTAACAAATGCTGATCACGTTAAATCCACAGCACCATTTCAACACAATTGCATCCTCTCTCTCTCTCTCTCTCTCTCTCTCAGATGAACAGAATTCAGGTATCCTTCAAAGTGCAAATCCTACACTATAGTTTGGTTTCCTGCAGGCAGAGGAATCTGATACTAAAACTTATTGGAACAGAAAGAATGAGTATGAATACCAACGAGTCTGTTTTCTTTTCACATAGCTATTTTAGGAAGGGTTCTGCATAAGAAATACTGAGCCTGTGTAAGTTAAGAAAAAACTTAATTCTATATACCACTGGTAATACCTCCCAAGATATTTTGCCTTCTTCACTCAGAGGAGACAAGAAGGCAGGAAAAGAAAAAAAAACATGTTTGAGCAGATATTAAAGCTTGTAAGACTAAATTGTGAGAAATGACCTGATCCCCTAGGGTATATTCTAAAGCATCCACTTATATACTTTATTTAACAATAAAATTATGGAAAACTACATTTACACCTCACTTGTAAAAAATAATTGTAAACGGTTATGGCAACACAGCATCAGAACATGAACACTTTTGTTTGTGAAGACAGATAAAACCTTGCCATAGGAACATTCAAACACTATGAGGAAACACAAAATGATGAAAACAAAGAGGACACTTTTTCCTTTGTTTTAAAGAGAAGAGTGAGTGGTAATTTTTATCCCTTGGTAAGATTTTCTCAACAGCCATCTGCTGCCGCCTCCTGTCCAGAATCAGCTTTTCCCTACGCATTCCCTGATAACACTTGGCATAATTAAAATGAAAATTAGCGCTTTTTATTATAAAGTAAGTTTTATGCAAAGCAATTTACTGAAGAGATATGACCTTATATAAAACTAGTGAAGAGTGAAAACAACCCATTATAAATATTTTCTTCTGTTAAAAATTAAACACAAACTAGATCCAAACTGAGCGTGCAGGAGCATAACAATTTTTTTTTTCAGAGAATATTAACCAGATCAGAGTTTTCACCTACAAACAAAAGTTCTCTGCATAGGAATCAAGTTGTATACTAAGCTGTATACTTGTAATGCTTTCCCCCCCAAAACATGCTAGCTAAGCTGAATTTGTTTTAGGATAGGCAGGTCTTGTTTAATTCTTCACAATCCCAGGAAAGGAAAAAGATTACCTGGTAAAGAGACACGACTATCCACACACATGGATAAAATTCTTTCATACACAAGTTTTCCTATAGAGAAAATAAGAGGTTAAGTCAACAGCAATCTATAATTTAATTGCCAAATAGTGGCTCTTTCTACAAGAGTCAAGAAAGGTTATCAACAAAGACTCGATCTCCATTATGTTATGCTGCCACCTAGTGAGGCCAAAAGATTTGAAGGCCTGAACCTAGATTCTATATGCTGCAAAAATTTCTTTGGCTTAGCTCCATTATATGCAGAGGTGGCAATACAAGTCAGATTACTCCAACAATCTCCTGTTAGCCAGGAAAGAACATTTGGTGACCTCTCAGCTGAGCATTGTTTTAACTGATGGTCAGTATGTAGAAAAAGACAGAGAGGGGAAACAGAACCTGGAAAAAACAAGTGTCACTGTACATCCTGTTAAACACCAACTATTGCAGCTTTAAATGCTATAAAATAAATTAGTTCCATACTGTTGAAAAAAGCACAGTGTAATTGAAGCAGATGACAAACTATATTTAAAAGAATTCAAAATTATGTTAAATCCATTTAGTAACAATGTGTTGTTCTTTTTCATAGCCCATACCCAATTAAAATTTTAGGCTCAATCTTTTCCAAAACCAGAAAGAGACAGCATGAAAGTTTGTTAAGGTTTAAAAAGACAATGAAAAACAAAGTAACGTTTTACCAAAACATTATGTAATGAACTACTATAACCTAACCTAATGAACTGAAATTTCAGAACCAAGAGACCTTGACCTTTCCCAGGCTTTTGTTTGGGTTTTCATCACTGAATACATAGAAAAGGTCAGCATATTTTCCTTCAGAGGAATTTGTAAAATAGGTTTTCTTATCAAAAAAGATTACATCAGTGTTCACAGTGTTGGTGTAACAGATGCACCTAATTTGCCTCTACCATTTTTTGTCAAGTGTTTATGTAGGAAAGAACTCCAAGGCTCCTGCATCCTGAACCAATTCACCTAATTTAAGTCATAAGACCTCCCTGACTCCAAGAAGTCAGGCTTACCCCATTTATTAAAAGAATCAGTGTAGAAACACATTTACTGGATGTCAAACAGGTATAGGAGCTCTGTATGAACTTTGTCCCAACAAAGGCAGTTTTACACAGTTAGGCTGCTCAGTAGGGCTGTGCGAAGCTTCGGTCACTGATTCAATTCGGCAGAGATTCGGCCCAATTTGGTGGTCAAACCTCCGAATCCAAATCAAATCAGAAGACGCTTTAATCTCTCTGAATCAAACTGGAACCCTCCAAATCGATTTGGAGAGATTCAACGATTCAGACATAGACACAGCTTTAGATGTTTTTTCTACATACCTCGAGGTACTAGGCAGCTTGTGCATAATGAGGTAGTGGGGTGGGTGCAGCGTTCCACAGGAGCACAGAGGGGTCCCCAGCATGCTTGGCAGCAGACCAGAAGTGCTTCTGGTCCACTGTGGAGCACGCTGGGGAGCCCCTCCCATGCCCCCTGGCTTGGTGACCAGTGCCTCCTGGGTCTGGGGGGACACCCGGGGTCCCTCCATGGCTGATTGCCGACCCAGGCGGGTATGGGGATGCCACCTGGTGCACTCTGCAGCAGACCAGAAGTACTTCTGGTCCACTTCTGGGTTTACCAATGAGCATGCGGGGAGGCCCACTTCTGTGGGAAACTCCATCCACTCCACCATCGCAGGGCTCACGAGCCATGCCTAGTATCCTGAGGTATGTAGAAAAAGCATTTAAAGCTGTGTCTATGGCCGAATCAGTGATTCTCTGAATCACCATCAAATTTTCAGATTCGGATTTGGATGAATTGAATCAGGACAGTGATCCAAATCAACGAATGGAATCACTGTCCCTGATTCAGGCTGAATCTGAATCAAATACAGCCCATTTTGCACACCCCATACTTGTTCAGCAAGCTGAAGGAGCCAAATCATATTCATACTCTACCACATGCACTGACCAGGACTACTCCCTTAGAAACAAACTTAGCTGGACTCATATTTATATATTAAGCCCCAATTCTTTTCCCCGTCAAGTATGGCCTGGGCCAAATGACATACCTCCAAAACACAAGGTGGGCATAAGCCAATACTCAGCTGCTATCTGCATTGAATATGACTGAAAACATCTGACAGAGTGAGTGAAACTACCATTTGTATTTTCCAGCTTAGTTTGACTATGTTTCCATAATGTTATTACTGTTAAGCAGGCAACCACCATCCCAGAAGCTCACAGAGATTCTGGAAAACAGTGCTATTACCATCGGGGGGCAGGGGGAGCCCCTCATCTTGGATTGGAGTACAAGGAGGTGGAGGTGGTGGGGGGAGACCAGCAGCTGCTGCAGCTCTGACTCCTGCCCAGACTCAGGTTCAGGGTTGAGAACATAGTTGGAGCCGCTGCCCATCCCTCCCTGCCCCCCCACCATCACTTACCCTCTGGCTCTGGCATGACTCTGGTCCTGCTCCAGCCCAGGGCACAGAGCACACAGCTGCTCCAGCCACAGCCTGGCTACGCAGCAGTGACAGCAGCAGCTGTGGCTTCTGCACTGCTCCAGCACCTGGCCACAGCTATTGCTGCTGCAACAGGAAGGTGCAGGTGGCGGTGGGTGGAACAGGTGCTGCAACAGGGCACCAGCAGCAGGAAGCAAGATGTGGGTAGACAAGGGCAGGGATTAGGCCAGTTGACTCCCCCACCATGTGCTCCCGCCACTTTCCCCCACAGTACTGCTTTTCCCACTGCAGCAGGGGAGGGAGGAAGTGGGTGAAAGGTGGAGAAAGAGGGGTTGAATTTAAGACAACCCTCCAATAATTAGATTCTACACATGGAAAATTATAACAAATTTATTCACTTTTCATTGATAGAATCTAATTATTGGGGAGTCATCTTAAATTCAGA